ATGTAGTAAGTACAAGTTGTAATTCAACATCTACAAGCAAAGAGGTTTAAGCCAAAATCATGTAATCGTTAATGTCATGCGGTATTTAAGACCGAACCATGAATCGGTTTTACTTAGGGATTTGACTTTTCCTTTTTTCTTTAGGATTAACTTTTTCTCTTTTACTTAGGATTAACTTTTCCCTTTTTCTATTAGACTTAAATTTCCTCTTTTGCTTAGGATTAGGGTTTTCCTATTTCACTTAGGATTTAAGATTTTTTTTTTTAAGATTTTCTTTTTGATTAGGATTTATAAATTTTTCTATTTCTTAAAGTTTTCCTATCTTGAATAGGATTTATGCATTTCCTAATTTAATTAGGATTTAGAGTACAATAGGATTTTATTTAGGTTTTCATGTTTTCTATTAGGATTTTAAAGTTTCCTATTTTATTTAGGATTTTAAGATTCCCTATTTTATTTAGGATTTAGGATTGTTAAGATTTCCTATTATCCCTAAGATTTAGGGTTTTAAGATTTCCTATTATCCCTAGGATTTAGTGTTTTAATATTTCCTATTTTATTTTAGGGTTTTAGGTTTTAGGGTTTTAAGATTTTCTATTATCCCTAAGATTTAGGGTTTTAAGATTTCCTTTTAGGATTATCTTTTCTAAGTTTTTCTAGGGTTCATGCGATTTTAGTTTTAGGGTTTCTAACAACTTATGCATGTAATCAAGAAACAATCAATCTAACAACCTAAACAACCTCAAGCAAGCCGATTTATACTAATGGAATTTCCGGATTAATTCTGATTTAGTTTTAGGGTTTTAGGCTTTTAAAGTTTCGGCCTTAGTTTAGGTATTTTCGATTTGCGATTTTAGGTTTAGATAATTAAAACTTCTCTAGCAACTTAGGCGAGTTTAGCTTAAGCGATAATCAACTTTTCTAGCAACCTAAACGAGTCAAACAATCGAGCAAACAAGCAATCGAATCAAGCAAGCAATCGAATCATACAAGCAAAGCAATCACTTAATCAATCATCATTCGTTTTAGGGTTTCTCTTTGCTTAACTTTCAAGTTCAATTGTTGGTTCTTTAGCTTTAGGGTTTTGATGTTACCTTTCACCTTATGGGGTTGTATGGACTAGAACCGGGAGCTAAAGACCTCGGTAACTCACGCTGCTGCAACGAACCGCAAACAGTACCATGATAAACAGTACCGCGATGAACAGTGTCGCGATGAAAAGTGTCGGCGATGAACTGTGTCGCGATGAACAGTGTCTGCGATGAACATTGTCGGCGATGAACAGTGTCGGTGATAAACAGTGTCGGCGATGAACAGTGTCGGCGATGAACTGTGTCGCGATGAACAGTGTCGCGATGAACAATGTCGCGATGAACAGTACGACGATGAACTGTGCCGCGATGAATAGTGTCGGCGATGAACAGTATCGGCGTGAACAGTACCGCAATTTTTAGGGTTAGGATTGTTAAGAGCAAACTCGTGCTGATAACGTGTTGTAAAACTTGTTGTTCTTATTGATTAATGAATGAGGTTTCAATACATATTTATACACGACAAGGGGAGACAAATCCCCATTGGGCTAGTAAACCCTAAAGCCCAAAAGCCCACTAAGATAAGATAGACCGTCATAAGGAGAATCTTCTAGAACATGGACATGGGCCTTCTAGAATATGTATTAGGCCCAACGGTTATGGAGTCCATCCGACCATGCGGTCTACAACAGTCAGACCAATTTTCCATTAAAATAAAAATTTAAACTTTTGATTTACAAGCGATGGGTCGAAGCCTAAATCCCCCAACAACTTTAGTTAGACTGGATAAAAAGTGTCATGCCAATGAAGAACATGTGAAAAGAAAAAAAATTGACACGTCTTCGTCGGCCAGATCCATGATCAGGCAACAGTTTTGCCGTCGGACTTCTGCAAACCATCACTACTAAACTCTTTCTACAGATACTTCGCCGCCAATCTGATTTGATTTCACTACTACCAATTTTAGATTCTTTTTCAGATTTTCTTCCTTTCAACCCAAAACCAAACAAAGAAAGTTCCACCCAAGACTTAAATTGAGGTTTACTTTGCAAAGCGACGAAGACATAACGGTGAAAATATTACTCTAACTTTTGAGAAGAGTCAAGCCGATGGTTGAGTAAGAGAGACACTAATTGACAACCAACGGGATTTGGAGTGAAAATCTCTGTAGAAAGAGGGGGAAGCAAAACAACAACAAAATCCGATCTTAGCCAGTAAACGTATCAAATTAAGCTAGAAATTATTAAAATCCGACAAAGCAAAAAGAATTATCCGAAAAAATCGAATAACACCGGAGGATGAATTTCGGTGAACCGGATCGGAAATTTTTTCTCTGAAAAATAAAGTGTGTTAAGAGAGAGAAGTTTGACTAGATTTCATTATTTTCTAAGAAAAGTTCCTAAATTTCAAAGTAAGGCTGTAAAAATAAAACATCAGAAATTTATCGTTCTTTAAGATTTGTTTAATCCATGATTTTGACTAAGACCAAATTGTTCTTAATTATATGATCTATTTGTTATAGGTGCGGATTGTTTGCAATATTGCGGTCTTTAAAACATTTTATGTTAGTGTGTATAGATTGTGGTCGTGGTAGTTGCGGTAGTGAACATAAAAATGTCAATATATAGTGCGAAAGAAAATAAAAAGAACAAAATAAAAATGATAGATAAAAGGTAAAATATTATTATCATATAAAATATAAACAATGTCATTTCTTTTTTTGTTGGCGTTAGTTTCTTAACTTAATTTTTTTTTATTATCCTGTGTAATTTTTTATAACTTTTAATAAAAATATATAGAATTAGACGTTATATAACTGTCAGACTAAAATGCTTTTACGTGTATCAAAGTTTAATTGTAGATTAATCATTGTTTTTTCTCAAATGTCCTCTAACTAGCTAATGTTTAGTGACTTCAAATTCTTCACGCAGTGCCGATTCTGTTATATATGAGGCCTAATACAGAACAAATTTTTTTTTGATGGTTTTGTAGACAAATTTAAAAATGAGACCAAATCTTAAATTTTCAGAAAAATAGGACCTGTTTTTGCAATAAAAAGTAGATAAAATTTAAAATTTGAGATTAAATCTTAAAATTTAGAAAAATGAAACTTATTTTTGCAATAAAAATTATTTTTAAGGCCTAATTTTAGTACAAAAAATCTTTAAAAATTCCGTACATTTGTATATTGGATATGTGTAGTGGGCTGACTTCACGTAATTTTCTTTCTATATCTATGGTTAGATGTAAGTAAATACAACTCTCCGAAAGATTACATAGGGCATACGTCACGTGTATCAATTTTCTTCCGGTTGTTCTAAATAAATAGAAAACCTGCGTTGACTTTTTTTTTCTTCTATTAAAGACCTGCGTTGACATTCACCTAATAAAGACTATCTTTCATGGACCATGATTACTCATCTAATTCACACAAGAAACATGAGCCGTTAACATATACAGATATACTCCCTATGCAACTAGTTGTATAATATGTTGACCAGAAAAAAGGTCAATCGCTGACTGTCAGCCGCGTCATCGAAAGAAATGTAAGTCGTATTTTTATGTATTACAATATATAAGTATAACTTTCGACCGTATACCAAAATCATATCCCATTTTTGTATTCTTCTATCGAATTATAATACTGTAAAATTAGTAAATATTAGTATTCTTCTATCAAATTTTGAAACTATCACGCAGTCTGTTATCTATATGAAAACTTATGAGAGTTTCAAGAATTCAAACAACGTACGTGAAATTTTTCGTAGCATAAAAAATCGTATAAAATCAATTGCAATGCCCACATGAACAAGAACATGTTAACCTAAATCATTTTATCGTAAAAAGTTTAATAAAAATAGTAAAGTTAACCGATATAGCTAAAAATTTCAATCTTGTCCACATAACTCATAAATAATCCTCTCGTTATTTTTCTTAAATAGCATGTTTCTTTTCTTTCAATTGCAATATGTAACTAGTTATTTAATTTGGAGACGTTCCTGCTAATCACTACAAAAAAAATGTGTATTGATAGCACTACACGATAGCACGGATTCTCTAATTGCTATTAAAGATGGTATGCAGAATTTTGTAACTATATCATAGCGTTTCAAAAAACGCTAAGACGAATAATAGCAAAGGGGGAAGCAAAAATACTTATGACCGCCAACAATTTTCCAAACTATTAGATTTAACGCCCGCCATTAAAAAAAAAAAAAAAGAACTCTTAATGACCTAGGTCATAAGACTTAACTTCTAGTTTTTTTTTCTAAGTCTTTACTCGTCGTCTTCTTCTCTAAAAAAAGTTCTCTCATCTCTAGATCCACACCACCGCCTAGCCACATACCTTTTCAGTTGACATGGCCTCGTCTCCTCCGTCTTCCACCGTTAAAGGTACCAGTCTATTCCTCCTCGTCTTCTCTTCACATATTCTTCTTCTCCCTCCCTTCTCGTCTTCACTTCTTGATGAAATTCAGCCTCATGGATTTGAATCGGTGTGTCAAGGAGATGAATTCGCACAAGATAAATTGAATCGGTAAGGAGATCGGAAACCAGATGGTGGTGACAAGAAGGAGAAGAAGTTCGAACGAGCCGCACCACCTGCTCGTGTTGGGAGGAAGCAACGGAAGCAGAAAGGACTTGAAGCGGCGGCTAAATTTCAGACCGTGACTCCTACTAAATGAAAGCTTCGATTGCTTAATATAAAGCGATTAGTACATAAATGATTGGATCATGACCCTCTATTTCCCTAATTCGAGTAAGTTCCTTCATCTTTCTTGATTGGGTTGTTGAAAAATTGTAACTTAATGGTTCTACTCCAAGTTAACTGTTCTAATTGAAAACTGGAAACTTGAGCAGAAATACGAAGCTAGTCGAAAAGCTGAATGATGCATACAAGAAATTCATGGATTTGCCTAACGACTTATTTTTCAGTTTTGTCTACGACTCTAGCATGGATTGTTGAGTGTTATATCTTTTTAATATGTCTTATGCTTGCTTTGATTTGTTGTTAATATGTCTTTTTAAGGAGATGAAATCCACCGATAGCCTGGTATGCTTCCACTTTCTCGTCTCTCATGCTAGTAAATTTATGCTTGCTTTGATTTGTTGTTATGTAATTGATTTTATTTTAAGGGGTTACGTTTTTAGAGTTCTATGTGCACACAAGGTGTTCGACGAATTGACTGTGAGACAGAAACTGAGAAACGACTCTCTCAACATGTCTTCCTATGATGATCTTTCATGTTTGCTAATTGAATGTAAAAATTTGACCTTTGCTTTTGTAGTCTAAAATGGTGGACTATATCCTTGAAGTCTCTAATCCTATGAAACAGCACTTTGAGGTGAGTAATATTTTTTGTCTGTAAGCTCTTAGTGCTAAGAAGTTTGTAATTGTGATTTGGCAGCTCATTTTAATGTGGAGGGTTTTGGTTATGTCCAGTTAACACTATAACCTCAAGTTTTGTGAATAGAAAAACGTCTATAGATTAAGACCACCACTAGGTAACTAGAAACTCTTCATTCAAGGTAAATATTCTTTACTTTCTTAAATTATGAATCTTGTGCCATTTACCTACTTAATGAGGTTTGTCTTCAAATAATGCCAGAGAATGGCTCTGCTTTCATGTTCGAAGAGAGATCTATTAATAAGATGGTAAGAAACTGTCTTTATTTATTTATTTATGTGGTCATATATAGTTATGTAAAGCTATTTGCTTTCAATTATAAGAGACGTCTTGACTCTAATCCATGTTTCTTAGTGGTTTAGTTAATGGCCACATGTGGGTATCAAAATGTTGTGGTAATTTCATGTTGGTATAGCTATTATCTTTCCATGGAAGATTTTTTCTCTCTCTCAGGTTTAGTTCTTTGTTTTAATTCTCAGGTTGTTGGCATTCTCTCTTCATGCACCATCAAAAGTGTGTTCTTGTAGACACTCATGATGTTGGTAATAACTGTAAGGTCACAGCTTTTATTGGAGGTATAGATCTTTGTGATGGCCGCTATGACACACCTGATCTTGAAACTGTGTTTAAGGATGATTTTCACAATCCTACATTTCCTGTGAGTATATGATTATTCGCTGGTTGTTTCAAGCTATAATCCTAATTCCTTATTTACTTTTGATTTGTATTCTATTTCTACTTCCTCAGGCTGGTACTAAGGATCCAAAACAGCCTTGGCATGATTTGCACTGAATGATAGATGGGCATGCGGTCAATGCAAGAAGGACGTCATTGTAAGGAGGACATAGAGAACATGACATGGAAATGGCAACAATAGTCTAGAGTATTGGATTAAACTTTGCTAGGGCGGATAATGACCAAGCGATCTTCCTCTTCCAACCTCTTCTTCTATGAACTACAAAGTGATGATTTCAAGGTAAAAGTTATGGCTGATGGCACGTGAATGCTTTGTTTAGGCGGTAAGATTTAGAAAAGAAAATTTGTTTGATCAAGTTAGTTGATTGTGTTTGGTAGAATCTGTGATTATCGATAGGGGAAGTTTGTTTCTCTTTGCCCCTTATCTCATAAATTAGTACTCTTGTTATTTAAGAGTCGTTGATGTATTTATATAAGATTTGGTTTGGATTAGTCTTTTGTAAGACTTTGTTTTTAATGGATTTTCTATGAAATAAAAATATATTTAAATATATATTTTTGACCAGATTTAATTTATATAAAAATATATCAAATATAGAATTCAAAACGTGTCAATTTTAATTGAAAAAAATAGAATCGAGAAAATGCTATAACATAATATATCGTGGCATATTTAATGAGCTACAATTGAATCGAATATAGCATTTAATTAACGTTATGGTAGTGCAACTTATAATAGCATTCCAAAAAATGCTATCGTAGGGGAAACATCTACCATAGCTGCCGATGTCATAGCATTTGTGATTTCGCTATCTATAACGTAAGATAGCAGATGTTTTGCGCTATCAATGAACAATTTTCTTATAGTGAATGCTATATTAAAATTTCATTACATTGAAGTATTGACAAGAAAAGAGTCTATTTGCTATGTTTACTGTTCCCTCTGTTTCATAATAAGTGTCGTTTAAGATTTTTGCACACATATTAAGAAAACAATTAAATTTTCTGTTTTACCTATTATCTATATATTTTATTATTTTTTCATTGGTCAATACATTAAATTAGTAGGGACGAAATTGGAAATTTTATCAAACATCTGCATTAAAAACACAAAACGACACTTATTTTGAAACAAAATTCAAAAATTAAAACGAGACTAATATGAAACGGAGAGAGTATATCACAATTTAGTCTGAACAAGACCAAAGAAAGATAGAAATTATACTATTTAATTCTGGAATTCGGGCACCGCGTAAAGAAATAGATAAACCTTTTTTTTTTTAATCTCAAAATGCTATTTATAAACTTAGTACTCCGTCATTGTTTACAACTTTTTTTTGATGACTTTTGTGAGTTTCAAGAACGCAAGCCACCGTCATTGTTTACAACTTTTTTTTTTTTTTTTTCATTGTTTACAACTTGGGTGACTATATAATTAACAAGGCCACATGACAAGAGAGTAATGATTCACATGACATGCCAAAGAAAATATACATTTTCAATTCCTCAAAAAATTCACACTTATCCATCCAAAATGTCAAAATCGCTTTTGCATTTACTCTCTCTCGTTTCCATCCTCTACTGTGTCGCTGCTCTCCGATGTCGTCCCGACCAAACCGAAACACTTAAACGTTTCAAAAACGAGTTTGCCTTCTCCAGCCTCTGCAGCGACGACGCCAACTTCTTCCGCGGTGTGGTCTGTGATAACACGACCGGTGCGGTCACGGTTCTAGAACTTCCCGGTGGATGTTTACGTGGCACTCTCAGACCAAACAGTAGCCTCTTCGAGCTAAGTCATCTCCGTTACCTTAACCTCTCTTTCAACAACTTCGATTCTTCTCCCTTGTCCTCTGCTTTTGGTCAACTCAACAACCTAGAGGTCTTGCTTCTCTCCTCGAATGGCTTTCTTGGCCAAGTTCCTTCTTCTATACGTAACCTCACAAAACTAACCCAATTAAAGCTTTCCCACAACAAGTTAACCGGTGATTTACCCTCACTTGTACAGAATCTAACCAAACTTTTAGCTTTAGACCTTTCTTATAACCAGTTCTCTGGAACCATACCTTCTTCTTTCTTCACCATGCCTTTCTTGTCTTATCTTGATTTGAGTGAGAATCATCTCACTGGCTCATTTGAAATCTCTAATTCTTCGTCAAAGCTCAAGATCTTAGAGCTTGGGAATAACCAATTTGAAGCAGAGATCATAGATCCTGTTTTGAAGTTAGTTAATCTCACGTATCTAAGCCTCTCGTTCCTAAACATAAGCCATCCAATTGACTTATCAATTTTCTCTTCTCTCCCATCTTTGTCATACCTTGATCTTAAAGGCAACAGTTTAACACCAACGAGTGTGAATTCAGACATCGAATTGTCAAAGAACATGGAGATCTTGCTCTTGTCGGGATGCAACATCAGCGAATTCCCCAGATTCTTGAAGTCCTTAAAGAAGTTGTGGTATTTAGATCTTTCCAGCAACAGAATCAAAGGGAACGTCCCTGATTGGTTATGGAGTCTCCCTCTTTTAGTCTCTCTGGATCTTAGTAACAATTCATTCACCGGTTTCGAAGGTTCATTGGATCATGTTTTAGCCAATTCAGCGGTGCAGGTATTAGATATTGCTTTAAACTCTTTCAAAGGTTCAATCCCTAATCCACCGGTCTCTATCATCAACTTGTCTGCTTGGAACAATAGTTTCACAGGAGACATTCCTCTCTCAGTCTGTAACCGGACCTCTCTTGATGTTCTTGATCTGTCCTACAACAACTTCACTGGCTCAATTCCTCCATGTATGGGCAATTTCACCATAGTCAATCTCCGGAAAAACAAGTTGGAAGGAAACATTCCAGACGACTTTTATAGCGGTGCTTTGACACAGACACTTGATGTTGGATACAATCAACTAACCGGGAAGCTTCCAAAATCTCTCCTGAATTGTTCTCTCCTAAGGTTTATAAGTGTGGATCACAACAAAATCAATGATTCATTTCCCTTCTGGCTCAAGGCATTGCCAAATTTGAAAGTCCTTACTCTCCGTTCAAACAGATTCCATGGTCCTATATCTCCACCAGATGATCAAGGTCCTCTTGCATTTCCCAAGCTCCAGATACTTGAAATATCGCATAACACATTTACCGGAAGCTTACCAACAAATTACTTTGCGAATTGGAGTGTAACATCTCACAAGATGTATGATGAAGAGAGGCTATATATGGGAGACTATTCGAGTGACCGGTTTGCCTATGACGATACATTGGATTTACAATACAAAGGTCTATACATGGAGCAAGGCAAGGTTCTTACTTTCTACGCCGCCATTGATTTCTCTGGAAACAAACTTGAAGGAGAGATTCCGGAATCTATTGGTCTTTTGAAAACATTGATTGCTCTCAACTTATCAAACAACTCATTCACGGCACACATCCCGATGTCTTTCGCCAATGTGACTGAGCTCGAGTCATTAGACCTGTCAGGGAACAAACTCTCGGGAGAAATTCCACAAGAACTTGGGAGACTATCGTATTTGGCGTACATAGATCTCTCTGATAATCAGCTCACTGGTGAAATACCACAAGGAACACAAATAATAGGGCAGCCTAAATCCTCATTTGAAGGGAATTCAGGGTTATGTGGTCTCCCTCTTGAAGAAAGCTGTTTTAGCGAAGACGCACCTTCGACACAAGAGCCCGAAGAAGAAGAAGAAATATTGAACTGGAGAGCAGCGGCAATAGGGTATGGACCAGGAGTGTTGTTTGGATTAGCAATAGGTCATGTTGTTTCTTTGTACAAGCCAGGGTGGTTCGTCAAGAATTATGGTCAGAATAGGCTCAGAGGCATTAGACACCCTTAGGATTAATTTGTTCTGTTTTCTTTTTGTGTAAATTGATCTTTGAGTATGTGTCAAGTTACTCAAAAACATAATTATGGCACTATAAAATTAGTTACTTCCATATCAAACAACGTATTCATGTCTTCTGTTATTATCGAAACATAAAAGAAACAGAACAATTTAATTGAACAAGTATTCTTTACAATGTGATTTTTTTTTTTTTTTTGTTAAGATGCAATGTGAAATTTTTTTGAGTAACAAAAACTACAGTTTCTTGGATAAGGGTAGTTTCGTCATTTAAGGATAACAATTTAAGGAGTATGGATTAAGCCCAGGAGTGTAAGAGCATGTGCAGTGGTGAGAGATTCAAATGAGTCTCTCCCACCGACTCTCGTTAATTTAATCACACATTAAAATCAATTTCTTATTAAGAAAAGGAAACTTGAATTGTTGCTATTTAATCACAAACCCTAGCTTCTATATTTTCCCAATTCTCATCTTTAGCTTCCTTCCTTGCCTACAAAGCTAACCTTTTTCTCTTTAGCTAGAACTCGAGTTTCCTTATAGCTTCTAGGTTTTATAATTTCTGATTCTATATCTTCAAGAGATTTGATCACGATGATGAAATCTGATGATCGTAGTTTTTCAGAGCAGAGATGTTGGAGGAGATTACGCGAAGTTATGGGGCAAACGAGTCATGAAAAACCCCAAACCGTTGGTCGTTTTGAGGTGGAACCATCTTCGAGACCTTTGTCGGATGTGAACAAAGAGTACGGTACTCTATTCGAGGCTAAGGAATACAAATCGGAAAAGGAGGAACCTAGGGTTTACTCAGGGCAAGTTAATATGGAGGAGGTGATGTACGAAGCTGTCGGAGAGTGGCTTGAGAGCCTCTTAGAACATAGATCAATTACTTCCGTGAAACCAGTACTACAAAACCCTAATCCGGATTCAGAATCTTCTATGTCATCTTGTGTCCGTCAGTCCAAGAAAAAACGTTGTTCCATTAACGTGGAAGAGAGAAGTCGCAAGAAAAGCAAAACCGTTAGTCCTTTAGAGGTGGAACCTATTCAAACGACTCCCCCGGATTGGCTTTTGAACGTGATGAGGAGAGAAGAGAACGGCTACAATCCAAAGCTGATCTCAACGAGGCAACTGTATAACACTGATCTCGCCGAACTTCAAGCACGCCTCTCAGTCCCTTTTAGGCAAGTGAAAACTCCGGACTTTTTGACAGAGGATGAGACAAGAAAATTACATAGAAATGCGATGAAGCTTTGTCCCCACGGTGTGAGTGTGGATTTGGTGGATCCTAATCGGAAGAAGCATGAGCTTGAATTGAGGAAGTGGAAGATGAGTGGAAACTGGAATTATGTCTTTGTTAAAGGTTGGAAAAATGTGCTTGATGCTAATAGCTTTAAGGAAAAAGACGTCTATCCTCTCTGGTCTTTCCGATCTGGAACAGGAAAACTCTGTTTTGCTCTCATCCCTAAAAATTCCAGCAAAGGCTCTACTTCGGGAGAATCTGGCCGTGGAAACTCTCTTCCTCGAGGCGATGGCGCTTCTACTTCCAGTAAATCTGGTCAGGTACCATTAACCATTCCTCCTTCGCATCCGGAAAGAGATTCTAGCCACTCCGGCCAAGGCTGTTCAGGAGAGAGCAGCTCTAGTTCTTCCTAATCATAACTCTGCTTATTGCTTAAGCCACAAGTAAAAAGGATTTAGTTTTCAGGCAATTCTGGCTTGGTTTTCATTCTTTTTTGTTCAGTTGACTGAAATAGTGGGGTTTTGTCCAAATTGTGAGACCCATAATATGATGTTTTGAATTGAGATTGTTTAAAGCTTAACTTTTTAGTTGAAATTTTTTGAATGCTATTATATGAATGAAAGTTCTTTAGTTATCTATCCTTTGAGAGTTTTCTTTTTGATTCTTTATCTCTTTCCTTCATCTCTCTATGAAAGATGCCTGAAACTGCCTCTGTTTACTTATGAAGAATTGAAAAGGCCGAACAAAAGAGATCTTGTTTTCTTATATTATCACAAAAAGATCCATCAGGCTACAACAACACACAAGTGTAAAGTTTCTTGGCTCTAAACTCAAAGTATAAGTTCCATCAATCATCACCATAGGCCTTGAAACAATACCGTTCACGGTAAGGAGCGTTAAAGAAAAGATCAGCTTCCAACCATTTCGGATACCGAACAAGATCTCCAGCTAAAAACTGCATATACCTCTTGCTTCCTTCGGGAACAACTCGAACCTCTCCTTCTTCTATGTAAACCAATTGATCCACCTGCCAATCCCATGGCAATTTGCACTTCCCTGTCTTCCAAACTGACCATCTCGAAACCCCGAGTTCCTCCAACCGTTTCTGTGAAACTTTCCTTTCCACTTTAACATTGTATAGCTCTTCCAAGGGTTTCTCTGTCTGCATACATGTCACCCTAAAGGCTCTCTGAACATACAGGTTATTTGTCTTCTTACATGTAGTGACAGAACCTGGGAATGGTGTGGTCATTATCAAACTTGCCATGGCTGCCAATCTTGTGAAACAGAGTTTTGGATCTGCAGTTAATAAAGAAAAGATTCATGAGAATTAAAACCTGAGATCTACAAGCATATCGGAACATTGTGATGTTAAAAGTCCTCTAACTCCTGAAACAGAGAAAGAAGGTGAAATTCTAAAGTCTAGCTGTAAAAGTGAATTCTTGTAAAGCATAAGGCTTTTATCATTCTAACCTCTTGCAATAGCTTATATGAATCAAGGACACAAAGTTACATACACTCACAATTCAAGAAATTTGTCTATGCCCATTTGCTAATTCGATTGGAAAAGTGAAAATATACATCATATAACTCACATAATCACACAAAATCCAAGGTCTCACCAATTAAAGGTCAATATTTTTGTCTCAAAACCTTAGAAGGAGTCCAAGAGAAAAATCATCCCAAAACTGAAGAGATATGGGATGATTAAAAAGAATACAAAATCAGAAAAAGGTTGTCAATTTCAAAACCAAAAACGAAAATTAGGCAATTAATACGCATAAAAATCTAATTTGCTTACAGTGTGAGTGAGTGACTTGTCGCTTCAAAAACCCTAAAACCCTGAACCAGAGGCTTATCCGATCCCGATTTGATGAATCAATCAAAGAGAAGTAGAGGATATAAATATTTACAAAAACGATCCTAATAATTTAGATTTATTTTAAGTTTAGACCAGACGTTTCTTTTGTGCTAATGTACCCCAAATGTTTTGTTTTGTAAGACTGTAACCGTGTAACGTGTCACATTCTCTGACACATTGCACAATCTTTTCCAGTTTTATCTCTGAGTTCGTTCTGGGTTTTATAGCATTTTTGTGGAACTCAACGGTCATGGTGGTTCTGCAAATTCAACAGTCCAATGGGTTCGTTAGTTCCGTATCAAGGGCTCGGACAAACCGAGGAAGAAGGAGAGCTTCGAATACAGTATGCGTTCAAACACAAGTGGCTCCCTCTAGAACACAGGTCAAGTTTGCTTGCTTGATGAATGATTCTGCTCAATTATGCATCATCTGGGGGGTGGAAATGAAATTAATGGCGTAATTGCTGCTTCATATGAGAAAAAGTTGCAAACTTTATCAGATATAGAGATGATTTTGTGGTCTGCATTGTGATGTAATCATTAACGGCGTAGTTCTTTGATAAACAGTTTGCTCTTATAACTGATTTTCATTCCACAGGAAAAGAAAATTTCATTGCTTTTGTTATATCTAGTTGTTGTAGTATTGGAATCTTGAGAGCCTTTAAGAGAGATTACATAAGCATGTTTAACTTCAACATAAGCATGTTTAACTTCACGATGTGATGTTTTTTAGCTGAGTATGAGTTCAATCATTTCGATATGCAGAAGATAATGGAGAAGATTTCAGTTGGTGGAGAAGCTGGAGGTGCTGGTGGTGCTTACTCTTACAATGCCTTGAAGAGACTTGACAATATTTGGTCCAACATATGTACTCAACCGACAGGTAATAACAAACAATTGTTACCATTCAGATTATAAAGGAATGTTTCTCTTGGTGGTGATAGTTAGTCTTTGCAAAACTTCTTGTAGGACCGCAAGAAACTCAGCAAATTGTTTCTAGGGTATCTGGTTTTTCTCAAGATTATGGTATGGGGAATAATCTCGTTGGAACCTTTGACATAGTGGTTTGTGGGGGTACTTTGGGGATTTTTCTAGCCACAGCTCTATGTGCCAAGGGTTTAAGAGTCGCTGTGGTGGAGAGAAATGCAATCAAAGGGGTAAATCTTCTAGTTAATGCTGTTGTTGAGGTCTGGTTGGAGAAGCTATTGTAAAAGCTTTTTGGTTTTTTGGTGATTTAGAGAGATCAAGAATGGAATATCTCAAGAAAAGAAATGAAAGAGCTGATTGAAGTCGGAGTTTTAACCGAAGATGAGATCGAAGAAGTAATTTCTGCAAAGTTCAATCCGGTAAAGCTTCTCTTCAGTAAGTAATGTCTTGATGCTCTATTAAAATCAATGTTGCTTAAGGTTATCTTGGACAAATGCAGAACAGATGTGGGTTTGAGAATCTTGGTGATATATGGGTTGAAGATATTCTTAACCTCGGCGTTTCGTGAGTCCTGTCTTCTCTTATTCTCTAATACAGAGGAAAAGAATAATCCCATTGTGTTCTGCTACCTTCTGAAAGTGATGATTTGGTTTTCCATTTTGTATATATAACCAGCCCAGCTAAACTTGTGGAAACTGTGAAACGACGTTTCGTTTCTCTTGGTGGAGTCATCTTAGAAGACTGCAGCCTCTCGAGCATCGTCATCTACGATGATTTAGCTGTGAGTTGTCTGGCTCTTTCTCCAAAACACATTGTACCTAAGAAAAGGATTCAACTTATTGATATGAATTGTTTGAACATTTTGATTGACAGGTTATGCAACTTTCTAAAGGTGACACATTATCTTCCCGTCTGGTCATCGATGCAATGGGAAACTTTTCTCCTATTCTGAAGCAGGTCATATATTGGCCTAAGAGCATATCTAATTTTACATTTTCTTTTGAATTAGTTATAGTGGTAAAAATATTAAACTTACTGATTCGCTTTTCTTGAGCAAATTGTGTGTTCCCCCGTGACATTTTTCTCATCCGCATGTCCAAATGCTTTTAGATTTCTGATTTTTCTTCTGCAACTCACTGATAATATTACTTTTCTTGTTATGTATTCGGTTACAAAAGATCAAACGTGGTAGAAAGCCAGATGGAATGTGTCTTGTTGTTGGATCTTGTGCTCATGGGTTTAAGGAGAACTCATCAAGCGACGTTATATATAGTAGTTCTTCGGTGACCAAAGTTGCAGATTCTAATGTACAACTCTTTTGGGAGGTAAACAAGTCTGGTGTTTTCCCTATTCTAACACAATGTACATAAAGACAAAGAATTGGTTTTAATATAAGGCTGCTTATTGTTGTTTGAAGGCCTTCCCGGCTGGCTCTGGTCCATTAGACCGCACTACTTACATGTTCACTTACACTGAACCGCAATCAACATCTCCGAGTTTAGAGGATTTACTAGAAGAATACTGGAAATTAATGCCAAAGTACCAAGTGAGTGTCCTTTTTATGCCACATCTTTCATAAAGTTTCTTTCTTTCTTTTCTCTCTTTCCTTGATGTCTTTTGGTGCAGGGAGTTTCTCTTGATGAATTGGAAATACTAAGAGTTGTATACGGAATCTTTCCTACTTACCGGAATAGGTACGACCTTGACATAAAACTGCATTTCCCAGATAATAAATGAGAGTTTACTCATAATTTTGTTTTAGTTCATATGATAGCATCTATGGAAGTTGAAACTCTATTATTGATATTATAATTCTGTTTACCAGTCTCATACGATAATACTGCTGCATTCTGACATATCTAACCCTGTTGGATTGGACCTGTCACCAGTCCATTGCAAGCAGCATTTGATCGTGTTCTACAGGTGGGTTTTGATCACTTATGCATAACCTTCCAAGAAAATTGTGCGGCTTGATAATTCGATAAACTAAATAATCAAAGTTTCTTACAAATTTTTACTCAGTTTGGTGATGCTAGCGGCATTCAGTCACCTGTTTCATTTGGGGGTTTTGGAAGTTTGACCAGACACCTTGGAAGATTGTCCAATGGTATATACATTCAATCTTTGACAGTAAACTTGCTGTCTCCATGTCTTAGTGAACATTATATATTTGTATCATTAGAATATTTCAGAATATAGTGCTAAAATCTTCAAATCTCTGATAATCTTGTTCTTTAACTTAACAAAAGGAATCTATGAAGCAATAAGCGGGGATTTTCTGGACACCGACAGCTTATCAAAGCTAAATCCTTATATGGTAATAAAGCTTTATGGTTGTGAGCTATAATTCTTTCTTTTCTTCCATTAACATCACTGAAGCCATTTTGTCTTTTGAACAACAGCCAAACTTGAGTGCATCATGGCTGTTTCAAAGAGCAATGTCTGCAAAGCAACAACTCGATGTTTCCCCTGGCTTCACCAACGAGCTTCTCTATGTAAATTTCAGTTGCATGCAGGTATAGCAAACCTTCCTCCTTTGTTTAAACCTGGAAATGAATGTTTCCAACTCTAGCTTCTAAGCAAGGGTTTCATATTTCTCTTGTAGAGATTGGGCGATCCAGTTCTGAGACCATTTCTTCAGGATATAATACAGTTTGGTCCTCTAGCAAAGACATTAGGCCTTGTCATGCTGACCAAACCTCAGATAATTCCGTCAATATTCAGACAGGTATAGCGTTCATCTTTGAACCAGAAACCCAGAAAAAAACAGAAACAAAAGATTGAATATGCTTTTAGTTTATTCATGAAATCTCAGTTGCTTTGGTGATCTCCTCAGGTTGGGATACCTGTTCTGCTTGATTGGTCTGTTCATTTTTTCATTCTGGGCTTGTATACGTTCCTCTCAGCATACATTGATCCATTAATAAGGTGAAATATTTCTGAATATCTTTAAGAAATTATGCCTTGATCGTTGCTGCTGCCATGACTCTGCCTCGTTATCGATGTGGTGTTTCTTGAACCTTTTGATCTTTTTGTGTATTCCTCAGGCCGTCTTTAGAAGGATTACCTTCAAAGACGAAGTTCGAATGGAAGAGACGTCTAGAGGCTTGGAAATATGGAGCTGGCCTCGATTATGAGTTGTGATTCTGTTCGTATTTCTGAAGAATGATACCCTCATCATCACTGGCTTTTGAGCTTCGATTTCAGCTTTTTTAAAGTATAAAATTTTCTCTTTTTGCTGCCATCTCGGATTAAAAGTTCACAATATCTTTCATCTGGAAGACATCATCGTCCATAGTACTTCACAAGCTTCATAAATGGTCTGGCTTATATACACAGAATCAACATCTCAGTCCTTAGATCTGGTTCTAGAAAACTCCTTCAATATCCGCTTATACCTATATTCGAAAAGCTTTGTTCTATGAACAGACAATTTATAGTAATATAATTTACCGCGTAGACATCAATGGTCGCTTGATTGTGCATACCAAATGATCATACTCAAGCAACTTTTGATACATACCCCATCCCAACTCGCTCAAAGAATCTTTCAGAAAATAAAACGTTCTGATTCAAGTAACCGATTTCAACAATTAATAGGTAGGTCTCGGGGGTTACCAGCTCATACAGATCTTCATTTGACGATCATGTTTTAAGTCTCAGGTGAATGCATACTTCCAATGAGTGCAGTATAAACCTTATTATCTATTGTATACCCTTTCCTTTTTATCTCATCGTACAATCCAAAGGCTTCGTCTGATTTTCCAGCTTTGGACAAACCCGAGATCATCACTGTGTATGTAACAGAATTCTGGTCTAAACCCTTCAACCCCATCTCGCTAAAGAGCCTCATTGCTTCATCCACGTTATCAGCAATACATTCCCCGTGTATGAGTGACGTGTAGGTATATGAATCCGGATCCATCCCATTTGCTTTCATGTTGGCCCATAGTTTACGGGCTTCTTTTACTTTCCCTTGCTTGCAGTACGCGTAGATCATCACATTGTATGTGATAGCGTTGGGCTGTACTTCCTTGCTGCTCATCTCTACAAATAGCCTCTTTGCCTCCTCAACGTTCCCTTCTTTGCAGTAAACATCGATCAAATTAGTATAACTAACCGTGCTAAGCCTCACACCACCCTCCATCATCCTAAACAGCCATTGCTTTGCCTCATCATACCTTTTCAATCTATTGAAACAGCTAGCAATCGTATTGCAAGTGAAAACATCAGCTTGAAACCCTTTCTTCTCCATCACATCATAAATCATTGATGCTTCATCAATCATCCCTTTCCTGCAATACCCATTAATCAACGTATTAAACACAACCTGAGTGATATTAACTCCTTTACTTTGCATCTCGTTCATCAATATCTCAGCTGCACCCATTTCCCCTACCTTACACACCCCGTCGATAAGCGCCCCATAAGTATGACTACTCGGCAAAAGTCCCTTCTCCGTCAATTCATCAAACAACAAAAACGCTCTTTTTATATTTCCCTTTCTACAATTCCAACTTATCAAAGATGTATACACATGAATATCAGATTCTATCCCTCTCTCACGCATTTCATCAAACAGCTTCTCCACATCATTCATTTTCCCATTCTTAACACTCAATTCTATCAAAAGCGTATACGTAACCTTATTATACACCACACCATCTTTCTTCATCACCTTCAATATCTTTTCTACACCAGAGAAATCTCTGTGTTTAAGATAAGCATTGATAATAGTGTTGTAAGTATAAGCTTCAGGTTTAATCCCTTTACCAGAAAACTCCTTAATCAGCTTCTTACTCTTCTCAACTTCACCTCTTCTACATAATCCTTCAACCACAATCGTCAATGAATAGACAGTTATCTTCACTCCAGAATCAACCATTCGCCGGAAAAATTCCAAACAGAGATCAATTCTCCGGCGTTTCTTCGCCGCAACCAAAAACACAATGCATGATCTTTCATCAATACTCAATCCCTTTTTAACCATGTAATCAAAAACCCTTAAACCCTCTTCAAACATTCCGTTATCAACATAAACCCTAAAGACCAAATCGAAAAACTTTTCCCAAAATTCAAACTTTTCTTCAGAAATGTCACAATCCACCATCGCTGATCCTAAACCCTCAACTGGGCGCTCGTAAAACCCGTCGTTAACAACCGAATTCAGAAGCAATCTCATCTCACTGAACCTCCGGTTAGAATATAACCGGTGAGATAAAGTCACTACCGCCGTGAGATCGGGTTTGAGATTGGATTCGAATTCGCGGAGAAACTTGAAGAAATCGATGCACGATTGAGTGGCAAGAGATGGGTCAGATAGAACGAGACGGGTTACGTTTGAATTCAAATTGAAGAGAAGAGATGGATTCGACTGGAGTTTTCCGATCCACCAGGCACGCCGTGATTCTTCTGGCTGCTTCTTGGTCAGAAATCAAAACTGGAGATTTGTGATTCTGAGTTACAACGTTGAAGAGTCGCGAGAGTTTGCGAGAAGAAGAAGAAGAAGACATGGTTCCAAATCCTTTGTTCATGATTCGCTACAGAAGGAAAGAAACTCACGCGGAAGATTCAGAGTTCAAAACTCTTCTTTCACTTCACTTCCCTAATCTTGGTGACGTAACAAATAACAATGCCACATCATATGTAGTGCTCTAATATATATATTTTTTGTCATAGTACGATGATGTAAAAAATAAAAATTCGACGATTATTAATTCATATTTGAATATAATTTTGAAAAATGATTTTTGATTTATAATGTAACAACTCTTGGAGACATGATTGATCCTTGAAGTGGGCATCGCTTATATGAAAAAAGTAACGATATATGCGACATTGAGTTGGCCTTATTGGGGATTAGAATGTCTTGTGCTATAATTGATATCAAGAAAACAACTACACCTTTTTTTTCCATTTTCAAATGCATAATAATTTTGTTGATCAAAGTTCTTTTCCTCATTGGTGAATAAACAAATTCGCATGCGTGAAACACTAAATTATATGTAAGCAGTGATGGAAATAATTGGGTCCATTTCAAGGTTGTTTTACATCAAACAAGGTACACTAAAAAAAACTCAATTTTTCAGCATGTTGGTTAGAATAGTCATTCTTATAGAACTATTTTTCAGCATCAACCATAAACCAAATCAGTGTCCTAAAATACGCTATATGCTAGGCGTACAGTAGAGCACCGTATAGCATAGACGTATATACGGTCGTTTATGCGGGGATTATACGGTAGATATTTTTTATTAAATAAATAAATAAATATAAATATATATATATATAAAGTATAGTTTTCAAAGTTAATAACTCACGAAATTGTGACATATTTTCCATAAAAATCGAGAAAAATAGAGAGATTTGAGAATTTCTCGCCGGCGAGCGGAAGGAATAAAGAAAAAACGAAGAAATGACAAAAAAAATTATTATTAAATTAAAAAAAAAATTATTATTAAATTAAAAAAAATTATTATTAAATTAAATTAAAAAAACTTATTATTAAATTAAAAAAAAAAATTACGACAAAAAAAAATTCAACTGCTCGCTTTTTTCCACGATCTATATTCCCCACTTCATCACCTTTCCTCTTCAACAATTGGAAAAAAACATTATTTCTTCCGCCTCTTACTTTGCCTCCCCTCTTCCCATCATTTCCTTCTTGGATTCTAATTCATCTATAGGGTATGATGGCGTTACATGATTTACTTTTAGAGTTCATCATCAATCACATGTCTCTTCCTCTATGCAAGTTTTCAGATTTTTCAAGTTTATAAATTTCGTTATAGTTCAATTATCTTCTCTCAAGTGATTTGGTGTTATTGTGTCTGCAAATTTTAGACTTTTGGCATTACTATGTCAACCCACTGATCCACATGGTCTATTCTCTTATCCAAATTTCATAAGTTTCTCTGCTCATAAAATTTTCTCTTTAACAAAACAACTTTTTATTTGCAGGTTCATATTCCAAATTCCAATCTCCAATTATGCCGCTCAATATTACACCTATCTCTCAAATAACTCCAGTAATTAATCTTTGTAAAATCAAGGTGATAAGTGTTTGTCTTTGGGGATTTCCACAAAAAGATAAACCAGAGGAATTCACAGGAATGAATTTTCTTCTTGTGGATGATAAGGTACAATTTTGTGGGTCTTTCTAAAGTCTCATTAAAATCTGTGATTTCATGATCTATGTTAAGATTTACTTAGAAGAAGGATAAGTGATGAGACTGATATAGAGCTCTGTTGTGCTATTACATTATAGTTCTTACCATCTCTAAAGTTTGGTATTTAGGCCGTGCAAGGCACGGGCCATTACACTAGTTGTAATTATAAAGTGTATTACATTCTTCCGATAGATATAAATAACTTATTAAAATTCAATAATACAACCTATGAACATATATGACTTCATAACTTATAATAAGCAAAAATTGTATAATTTTATAAATGGGCCAATATTTGTATTAGATGTTTATATATGTAGCCTGTGGAATAGCCTGTTAGGAATAGCCTGTGGATACATATAAGCAATCATATTTTTGGATATACATATTTTGGAGCACATGATTACACACTTATACTAACATAATAACACATGAATAAACATACTTACATGAATAAAAATACTTGACACATACATATATATATATATATATATATACATATCATACTCGATCGTCATATTTTGACACATACATAAAAATCATACTCATCATATTTGAAAACCCTTTATCAAAAAAGAAAAAAAAAAACTTCATACGTACTCATCATCAAATTGCAATTGATCTGAACTGTCAAAATTATGCATACCCCAACTTTAAATATATTTTTCAAAACTTCTACATCAACACTACGTTACATGGGTTGTGTATACATCATATATGTGTACATATATACATTTCACATATATTCTCCGGTTTATAAACAAGGAGAGGGAAAGAAAGAAAAAGAGATAAAAGGAAAACAATTATCTGTTGCCGCGGCGAAGAAATTTAATAAATCTATCGCTTGTTGTGTAAAGGGTTTGAGCCGGTCGGAATCTTTCTTTTTTCCGGGTTAATTACTCCGGCGCCGATGACACGTGTGGCATAAGAGGGGAGAAAACCTCTGTTTCTTCTAGAACGTCCGGATGGAAAGCTTTCTCCTTCAACAGCATGGGATCTTGATGCAAAAACGAGAGTGAAGAGAAGCACAAAGAGGGAAAGAAGACTAATTAACCGAGTCATTCTCTTCTCTTAGAAAAGTGAGGAAATTAAACCCAACAAAAAAGTTGGAAAGAAACCTTGTCGAAGACAGATGGTTGCGACTATGAGAATTTTATTGATGCACAAACTTCCATATGGTGTCGTATTTGTTGCGTTATTCATGTGCGGACATGGATGGTCCACTTCATAATAGTCTCTTCATTTTTTAATTTTTAGTATAGTATAGAACATATATGTAGTCAACTAATTTATAACTTTATATTAGTGTCGTCGTTAAGATACTATCCAAATTCATATATATATCTGCATAATGCATATTTAAATATTTTGATATAAAGAAGTATAACTTTATCAAAGAAGAACTCTTTGTTTCTGAAAATAACTGATGGGCATGTTTTTAACATTAAAGTCAAATCTCCAACATTAGTCGAACATTAATTTAGTGTTGTTGTTGTTGTCTAATTTCTGGATTAACTGACAATGTTTGAGTCTATTTTGTATGTTTAATTTGCTATATATTTATTAGGGTGTATTTGTTATGGAGGGGATCAAAACGTGGTTGTTTAAAAACCACAACTGCATTACCTGTGTTTGCCAATAAACAGTTTGTATTATCTGAAAACAGTCCTTTTGCCTGAAATATAACTTAACAATTGTACGAAAATTTGTGAAGTTTTTCAATGTGGGGAATGTAGCAATATAGTATGGTGACCACCCCGACTAAAATTGAGGTGAGTATTATGTAATCCTTTTCGATGTAGTAGTTTAAATTTTTTAAGTCAAGAAATATTGAACATCAATAATTAAGTAAGAAAAAAAGTTATAAAATTAATTTAATCGTGAATGACAAGAAAAATCGTGAACAAACACATTTACACTTTTCATTTATCAAGTTTTCCAATAAGGATTTTCTCTGAAAATTTGTTTTATCTTAATTACTCTTTCTTTTTAGTTGAAGAAAGGCTCTAAAAATTGGTTAAAAAGGATATTAGATTACTTTGAATTTTATAGCTCAGTGGTAAAATAACTTTTCAAATATTGTATTATTAAAAATTTGGGTAATTGATTGCTTCGAATGAGGTTATTAGAACAGACGAGGTTTTTTTTTTTCACTTTTAACATTAAAATCAGTCATGGGCCTAGATATTGGGCCTTAAATCCAATCCACACTAACCGCCCAACCCTTCATCTATATTACTCCCTAGATAACGAGGATGATGCTTGCTCCTTGGATTCCTGCAGCTCCTCGTCCCATATACTAATTTCAACAAAGAAAGAAAAATAAAGATTTAAATATTGATCGATAAAGATTCTTAACTCTAAGACCATCAAACTCTTGAGGGAATTGAACAAAAGCACAATGATTTGGATTCGGTGATCCTTGCAGAAATATACACATTGCTTGTCGCACCACATCGGCTTCGTTTGCATACATGTCGCAGTCTACGTTCAACATGTATGGTGCATTTGTCATCAACCCTGATACTCTTGCCTGTCAATAATAATATAGTAAGATCAATCATTGATAGTTTAATATGGCTTCTCATATATGATGACTCAATTCTTTAAAGTATTGGATAAGCTTAGTGATCGTAATTCATAAGAGATAATATCACCATATAAAATATAAATTTCAAAGGTAAAATCTTAGTAATTTAAGATATGTTATTGCGCTGGATTTAGAGATATACGAATCTAAACAAGAATGATGATCAAATATGTGCTTAATGATATCGTTTAGTGTTGGCACGGCTCTGACTATATGTGATCTCAACCAGTCTTTTAATGGTGTGACATTACAAAATTCACTGACCAGAAAGTTCATGGCTCCAGCTTTGTAATGATGAAGGTAGTTTGGTCTTTTCTCTCTTGAAATGTATACGATATGAGGGACCTCTTTCTCGTCTCCTGCACCTCCTTTGTTCTCCCATACCACCTTCACATATACACATAAAACAAGATTTCATGTAATTGTTATAATAAACCCTTTTTATATGAATTGTTGAATTACCTTAATTATTGTTGAATGATCATTTGATTTTGTGTTTGAGAAAGCTTCCAATTCATCTTCTGTACCCAACAAATGAGAATCTCCGGTGGCATCTTCCACTTTCCAGCATAACTTCTCGTACTCCATCTTTACATTCACACAAAAATACAGTTTCAACTAATTGTTTTTTTTTCAACTAAATTTCCTTTTATATTCAAAAGAACAATCAAACTCATTACCTTGATCATTTTCCAATCTCTACAGAATTCAGAATCCTCTGTTGCGGCAAGAGGGTTTAAGAAATATCGAAAAGGAGCTCTAACTTTAACGTTGTATATTTTGCAGAACGGAACCCAAATCTTGGCGAACTTAGAAGCTTCCTTGAGAGAGAAGTAAGTGAGATGTTGATGCAGCGAGATATTTGGAATATTTCCAAATATCTATTTATATTATCTTTTAATTTATTAATTATAATTATTCTAGAATATTCTAAGTTTTAGTGTTTTTATGCTTTATTATAAATAGCCTTCTTAGGTCTCCTATTGTATTCAGTTATTGATGAATTGAATAATCGAAAGATTTAAAGAGGTGTTTATAAACCACTGTGAAGAGTATTCACAACTTTAAGAGCTTTTGCGAAAGCCCTGAGAGGAGGACTCTCAAACCCTAGTTTCCGGGTATTCTCAGAATCAACGGATCTAGTTCTATCCCTAGAAGCTTCCGCTGATGCAAAAACTCTTAGGGTTTGTGAATACTCTTCACAGTGGTTTATCAAAACCTCTTTAAATCTTTCGATTAATCAATTCATCAATAACTGAATACAATAGGAGGCCTAAGAAGACTATATATAATAAAAGCATAAAACCCTAAAATCCATAGAATATTCGAATAATTATTATAATTAATAAATTAAAAGATAATAGAAATAGATATTGGAAATATTCCAAATATCTCGCTGCATCAGGTCTCGCCGGCCAAGAAAAGATTCGTCCTCGAATCTTGTTTCTGCGCTGCATCAATTTCTAGGCCAGCTCAAATAAAGAGAAATTGATAACATAGAAATGATCTAATACGTCTTTAAAATTAAATTAAGCGCTAGGTAGCAGCTAGTTAAGACATACAAATTCAATAAGAATATTACTTTTCATGTATATGGTTGTATATATATATATATATATGTTAATAAAAAGATTTGTATATATAGATGATTTCTGTTTTAAAATAAAATGGTTCATGTTTCATCAAGTCTATCTGGATAGGGTTTAGTTTCAGCAGGACTCCATTTTGTGCAGGTACTAAGAAGCCACACGAATGAGAAACAAGATTCACAAAGGAAAGCCACGAGCCAAATGATGCCGTTTTGGCTCATATATAGGATTCGGTGCAAAGAGAAGAGAAAAGAGAAGGCCGAGAATCGTGAGATCCACAGCTCTTCGAAAATAGCTTTTGTATGACAAAATTTCGTAAAGAGGAGGGAGGGAACAGCTTGAATCTGCCATGGGAGGAGCTTTCTTGCAATTTTTGGATATGTTTCTAAAGGGTTTTAAATAAATGTGCGTTCCGACTTCCGTCTATGAATGCTATATATATAGTTTTCTAACAAAGAGTCAAAGACTTAGGCTTATACGCAAGTGGACAACTCCTAATGTGGTAAAGTTAATGATGGTTCCCTATAAGAAGGAAGCTTCAGCTTCATGAATGATCAGGAGAACAAGAAACCTAAAAAGTCAAAGTCTTTGTTTCTTGTGGAAGAAGTAACACGTTATACGTGGATTACGTTAAGAGACATACCGCTACTGTAATAAGTGGATTACGTTAAGAGACATAAGACCATGATTAACAAGAGGATCTTAAGATTTTCTTAAAATGATCTTAGCAATTAAATGATTAAAATTAATTCCCAATTAAGCTTTAAAGTTAAGATGAGTTGCTTACCTAAGAAACAAATACACATTTAAGAACCATTTTTAAGAGCCATTTTTAAATTTATTACTTTTATATTCCTAAGAGCCATTTTTAAAACACCCTTGATAATCATGCTCTAACGCTACTGTAATAATTGGATTCTTAAGGATGTGGTATAGATTCTAGTGAGAAGTTTGTTTCATAAATAATGTTCATGTTTTAAGCAATGATATTTGTTTCATGTTTAGTTTTGAAATTAAAAAAAAAAAAAACTAATTACAAGAATCAGACAAAATATATTTATATTCAAGAATCAGACAAAATATATTTATATTAAGGATCCCTTATATATGTAGGATGTTTTTTTTAATATACAGCACCATAAACGATTGAATAGAATAATTTTATTATCTTTGTTTTTAATATTACAAAATTTTAAAAAGTAATTTTTTAAAAATATTTTTTGTTGGTCAATGCCGATCAACGCCGGATTCAAACGGATACCGGAATAAGATGGTCGTGATGTTGACCGCACATCGTCATTTAGTTAGTATATATGAACAAGCGATACATTTAGTTCGTATAGGTGGCTATACATTTCTAAACTTAGAATGTGTTGTCATGTATTCTATTATATGTTGTGTAGCTGGATATCTTTTTATGTTTAGTTAGTCACCTTACCATAGTTGTACCACTCGAACCTAGGACATCCACCTTCGTCCGGCCCTACTTAAGGTTACAGGATTCACACTATACATTGGATCTCCATTGTTTTTAATTTAATAGCTTGCAAGTTCTACACTAAATTTTTCAGAATAACGCTTTTTTTCTTCTGATTATTTCACAGCTTAAAACTGCTTCACACATTAGTTAATAGGTATGGGCAAACATTTAGTACACAAAATAAAGTTACATATATAATTGAATAATTAGCATTATCAATTGAGACAATCATGATAAACTTAGCGTTGGAAAACAACAAACCCATATCACTTTTAAACAGAGAAAACAACAAATAAAACTGCTAAAAAGCCAGCTTTAGAGAGAGTAGACAATGGGATTCCATATTTTCCTTTTTCAAACAAACCCTTTAGAAATGGAAAGAACAACATCATTACCAAAACACATACACAAGCCTCTGCCATACCCGAACTACCTCTTCCGTGGCTGTAACTCGACCGTTGTAGACCCACAGTAAAAACAGCTAGAGCGGCTAGATTCACCAACACAATAAATGTGCCAGGCAAGAAATGAAGTGAGCCATCAAATTCAAATTTACTTGAGTCTGAGTTTGGACCATCGTCTTCTCCTTCAGATGGTCCAGCAGGCACAGTCTTTTTAGTGATTATGAACACTGTTTCCGAGATGCCAAGAAGCTTAAGAGTGATATCAAAGATGCTAAATAACCAACTACTAGTGGCTACTATTCTCCAAACTGATTGGGAGACTAGCCACGATTGTACGGAATAACCAAGGTTCACAAATTCCCATAGAGTATAGAGACAATGCATCCCAACAAGTGTGATTGTTATGCCTAGATAAGTTCCCTAAATACACACATAAAAATAAAATAAAAAACATTAAACTTTTCCCTCTAAATTAACCAAAAACTTTTTTTGAACCTTATTATGAGTGAGAGAGAGAGAGTCACCTTGGGAAACAAGGCAGAGTTGTGGAGTAGGCAATAAGCAGGAAGTAGACAATAAATAAGCTCAGGGATTGACCTTAGAGAAGTGATAATGCAAAGATAAGCTAATCGCTGTCGGAATCTTATTTTCTTGCAAAACATTCCCCGCAACGGACTTTGTTTGTTGAAAAGGATTTCGATCCATCCAGTCGCCCATCGACGTTGCTGGAGCAACGCCTCGGGTACTCCTTGCGGCATAGATCCAAGAAATGCAGGTGTATCCGGAGAAATGTATGAGCTAGTCCAACCTCTCGAATGTATTCCGATACTCGTGTTCAAATCTTCCGCCACTGAATCATATAACCAACCGATCTGCATAACTTTCAATATTAGAGAACTTTTCGAAAGCAAAATAATATTGTTTGATTAAACTGAGAAAAGAATTATACAGTGTTTCCCCAGCTGGTTTGGTACTCGTAGTGACAATGCCCAACTTCTTGAGCCGCTTCTATGGAGTTTGTAAGTATATTTTGTGGATTTGGATTTCTTTGTATTGCACCAACCACTGATTTCACCATCTCTTTAGAATTACCAAATCTTCTCGCTAAACTATCCTCAACCAAAAACTCCCCTTAATAGCAACAGCAAGGGTCAATGATTTTGATATATGAATAGTAAAACAGTTGACTACAAAAATATTATGAATTGTATGTTAGAGGAATAGTACTAGAGCGATAAATTTTAATTTACATTACAAATACAGTTTTAATTAAACCCTAGTTACGAGTACTTACTTGTAGCAACTAAAGAAAGACTTCCATCGCCTTCTAAATCGTCTGGAGATAAACCGTACATAACTCTTCTAGTGTGGACGCATCCTGAGCCTATATATATCGGTCCTTGGATTCCCGCAATTCCTCGTCCCAAATACTAAATTCAACAAAGAAAAACAAAGATCATAAATAACAATGTATTGATCAAGATTATAGATTAAAAACAAAAAGGGAGCCGTCGCACTGATTGTAGGACGACGATTTGGCTGGTGTTAGAATCATAGAACTCTTGAAGGAATTGAACAAAAGCACAATGTTTTGGATTCAGTGATTTTTCCAGAAATATACATATTGCTTGTCGCACCACATCTGCATCATTGGCATACATGTCGCAGTCCACGTTCAAGATATATGGTGCGTTTGTCATCAACCCTGACACTCTTGCCTGTTCAAATTCATCATATGCTTATCACATTTTCGGTACAACAAAAAAAAACCATGTGAAACTTCAGAAGAAAAAAAAAATGGAGAAAAGGACAGAGATGTGTAAAAAATTCATTAACCAGAAAGTTCATGGCTCCACATTTTTGATGATGAAGATAATTTGGTCTTTTCTCTCTTGAAATGTATACAATATGAGGGACCTCTTTCTCGTCTCCTACACCTCCCTTGTTCTCCCATACCACCTTCACATAAACACATAAAACAACATTTCATGCATGTAATTCAATTTACGTGTGAATAACAAAAGTTAGAGACTGGATTGTTTTCACTTTAGAAAAAATTAAAATACCTTAACTATAGTTGAATGATCATTTGATTTTGTGTTTGAGAATGCTTCAAAATCATCTTCTACATCCAACAAATGGGAATCTCCGGTGGCATCTTCCACTTTCCGGCTCAACTTCTGGTACTCCCTCTTTATGTTTAAGATCAAGAAAACCTCAATATATAAGATGAAAAGCTAAGAACAAATCTTCAGATCATGTGCATCTTTATTATTAGGTCTCGATTGTTTCAAAAGAAGAATTTAATCTGTAAATAAGCACACAACAATCTAATTTGTAAACATAAAAATTGTCATACACCTAAAAGAAAATCAAACCCTTTGTACCTTCGTCGTTTCCCAGTCTTTACTGAATTCAGAACCCTCTGTTACGTCGCTTATCGGGTTCAAAAAATATCTAAAAGGAGCTCTAACTCTGATGTTGTACTTCTTGCAGAAAGGTACCCAAATCTTAGCGAACTTAGAAGCTTCCTTGAGAGAGAAGTAAGTAAGAGGTGAGCAACCATCGTCCGACACATAGCAAGCTAGTCTATTCGCTGGATAATTTACAGCTAACAGCGAAAGCACGGTGTCCACAACCATAATCGGTGGCTCTCGAACAGGATCCGCCGTGGGCACAAACATATCCACGGAAGGAAGGTCATGAACCCTGAAATTACAATAGGCCAGCTCAATGAAATAGAAATAAATATTACATCTTGAGAATGAAAAACTAAGGCTAGGTAAGCAACTAACTAAGACTTTATACAAATTTAACAATAATATTGCTTTACATTATTACATGTATATATATGATTGTATATATGTTAATAAGAATATTTGTATATATGATTTTTGTTTAAAATGAAAATGGTACCTTTCATCAAGTCTATCTGGAAAGGGTTTAGTATCAGCAGGACTCCATTTTAGGCAGGTAATAAGCAGACATACCAATGAGAAACAAGTTTCACAAAAGAAAGCAACGCGCCAAACGGTGTCGTATTCGCTCATATGTCGGATTCGGTGCGAGAGAAGAGAAAAGAAAAGGCCGAGAATCGTTAGATACACAGCTCTTAGAAAATAGTTGGCGTACGAGATCCTTTCGCAAAGAGGAGGGAGAGAAAGGCTTGAATCCGCCATGGGAAGAGCTTTCTTGCAGTTTTTGGATATATTTCGAAAGGTACGTATAAATAAAAACTACGCCCCTTCACATCTATGAATGCTTGCATATAAATACGAATGTGGAAAACTCCTAATTAATGTGCTAAGAGTTAATGATGATTCCCTATAAGAAGGGAAGCTTCACCTTCGTGAAGATCACGAGAACGAGAAACCTAAAAGTCAAAGTCTTTGTTTCTTGTGGAATAAGTAAAAGTAACACGTTGAGGAGAAACGTAGTAGCTGGATAACGTATGAGACATATCACATACTCTTACTGTAATAACTGGATTCTCAAGGATACTTGATTATAAAATCCTATTAAGTGAAAGCAGAAATTAAACATCATGAGGCCGTTTTTCCGTTTTTCTGGTTATTTCTCTTTAAACATTGATGGGCCGAGATTGGGCCTTAAACTGTCTCATCTTATACGAAGCCCAACCTACATTAGGGTCATGATAAACCGTCCATTCTGGTTTTTTTCCCCAGTTCTTCATAACCAAAATCTTCAGCAATCGCTAAATTTTCCAGCAATCGAGAGAGCAGCACGAGTGAGAGAGAAAGAGCGATAGAGGATTTCGTAGCGTGAAAGGAGATCGAAGTATTAAGAAGCTATGGATAGAGAATGGGGTTCCAAGCCTGGTAGTGGAGGCGCCGCCTCCGGCCAAAACGAGGCCATAGATCGCCGCGAGCGTCTCCGTCGTCTTGCTCTTGAAACCATAGACCTTGCTAAAGATCCCTATTTCATGCGAAACCATCTTGGAAGGTATGTATTTCTTTATGCTTTGTTGCACAGACACGAGTAAGTAACACATCAAATTGTTGGATGATTAACCTGAGATTTATGAATACTGTGATTTAGGAACTTCATCTACATTTTTGTTCCGATTTGCGTTTGATTATGCATATGTGTGATGAGTTCTTGAATCTTGAGTTTCTTTGGTTGGTGTTTCTTGAATTAGGGTTTTTATTTTCCCCTGATGTCACTAATTTGATTATTTGGTATGTTGTGAAGCTATGAGTGTAAACTATGTCTAACGCTGCATAACAACGAAGGAAACTACTTGGCACATACTCAAGGTAAGAGGCATCAGACAAACTTGGCAAAGAGAGCTGCTCGAGAGGCAAAGGATGCTCCTACTAAGCCGCAGCCACTCAAGCGCAATGTCTCAGTTCGCAGAACAGGTAATAACTTGTTTTATGCTGACTTAGTTTCTTATAATTCATTGTTGGTTTCAAATCTGTCTGAGTCTTGAATTGGATTAAATGGGAAAGTGATTGGTCTAGAAGTCATATATCTTATTGTGGGGCTTATGTAGTTGCAGGATTGTATATCTTTGCTATTTGAGTACATAGATTTTACTTTAAGGGGTCTTTTCATAACTCCATCTTATGTATGGTCTTGCAGTTAAAATTGGTAGACCAGGGTACCGGGTAACAAAGCAGTACGATCCCGAGCTGCAACAAAGATCTCTTCTGTTCCAGGTAAGCATCTAAGTGTTATTTTTGAACTTTGTCTATCATCATTAGAGACTTATCCAGAGTGAATCTCACTGTTTCTATTCTCTCCTCAACTTTGTTTTACAGATTGAATATCCTGAGATAGAAGACAACATAAAGCCAAGACATCGTTTCATGTCATCTTATGAGCAGGTGAGTGTTACAACTCCTTCTCTATGTGTCTCATAAACTTTTCATTTCCTTCATTGGCCTTCCATTCTGAAAAGTTCTCTCTTTTTTTTTTTCTTTCTATTTGTGTGTGTGCAGAAAGTTCAACCTTATGACAAGAGATATCAATACCTTCTATTTGCTGCTGAACCATATGAAATCATAGCTTTCAAGGTATGTTTCTTGTCTTTGTTCGTGACATATTTACATTCTACAAGTCATCAGGGATTATAGCTCTGGTAGCTCAACATATCTTAGTCGAATTGTTTGCTGATATTGATGCATGTGTTTGCACATCGGTTTCAGGTTCCTAGCACAGAGGTTGATAAATCAACCCCAAAGTTTTTCTCTCATTGGGATCCAGACTCCAAGATGTTTACTGTAAGTGCTTCTCATCATAATTCTTAGTATTATCCCAGAAGCTTAGTTTGTTTTCCGAGATTGGATAAGTTTGTGTTTGGATTAATGAACGTTCTGACAAATAATTTAATAAAACAGCTGCAGGTGTATTTCAAGCCGACTAAGCCAGAACAAAACAAGCCTCAGTCCGCTGTTGGAGCAAATGGTCTTCCACCGCCACCACCACCCCCGCCACAAGCTCAACCGCCACCACCTCCTCCATCTGGTTTACTACCGCCGCCACCACCTCCAATGGCAAACAATGGTTTCAGGCCCATGCCAGCAGCTGGAGGTTTCGGACATCCTAACATGTGAAAGAGAATCCAGCGAAGCAGTTTAAAAACACAGTACTCTTATCATGATTTACTAAGAGAGAATGTGCTCTTTGACTGAAAAATATCAAATCTGTTTTGACATGGATTCTCAAAGCTGTGATCTCTACAGGTGTATTAGCTCTCTAGATACCTTCTATAAGTTTCTTCTATCTGTTTCTCGTATGTACCCTTTTGACAGGATTGGTTTCCGTTAATAGTACAATTAGAGTTTGGCCAAAAAAAAAAAAAATAGTCATTTGTTACTGTTATATCGGTTCTCTTTAACCGAATCTACCAGTCCTTGGATTTTAATTGTTTCCTGGCGGAACACAGCGATGACGTGGAGTATGCCACGTGACTTACAAAATAGGACGGGGGGTAATTATGTATTTACACATTCTCAACAGTGTCGCTGAAATTCAAAAGAGTAAAGAAGAGGGAAAATCAAAAATCAAAAATCCCTAATTCCCAAATTACTTTGAATTCTCGATCCACAACGCTCCGGTGAACCCAACGGACCCATTTTCGTCGTCCTCCAAGCGTACGTGCTCTCATCGAGCATATTACAAGCCGAGAAAGTTCTGTCATGGATGAATCCTTAACTCCAAACCCTAAGCAAAGGCCAGCTTCAACGACGACTCGAATCCAGGCTCCGACGAGTCCCTTCTTCTTGGGATCTAACGATGACAGATTGGAACGGGAACAAGCTCGCGCCGCTAGAGCCGCTGCTAGCCGTCGTAGGTCTGTCATTTTCGCTTGTGGGCCGCAGCCTGAGTCGGAGTCCGATCCGTGTTTCGACAAACAGCAAATTCTCGAGTTGTTTCAGAACTGTATCAAATTGGCCAGTGAAAACGTAAGCAACTACTGTCTTCTGTCTTTTTTTTTTCCATAATTATAGCAACTGGAAATGGAAAATTCGTGGTAAAGGTTTTTTTTTTTTTTTTTTTTTTGTCTTTGAACTTGGTTTTGGGTAAATATGCTTCTGATGAGATTTATGCTTTAGAGGAATCAAAATAGTCCTTTAGTCAGTATAATCTTTGTTTAGATTTGCAAGTTCTTACGGAATTTGGGGATCTGATTTTTGTTATGTATCCTTGGAATTGATGCTGCGAATCCATATGAGTGGGAATTGAGGTTTTTTAAATATGGGTTTTGTGTTAAACAGAAAATCAATCAAAAGAATACATGGGAGTTGAATTTGATCGACCATCTTTGTGAGATTATCAAAGTTGAAGATGAGAACAATGCAGAAACAAATTTTCAGAAGGTAAGCTTTCGATTTCATTCTTTTTTCGCGTTTGAGAATAACACAAAAAAAAAAAAAATTTAATGGAAAACAAAGACTTCCGAATCATGTTTAAGACATATACATGTTCGTCCAAGGCAGGCAAGTTGCACTCTTGAAGCTGGAGTTAAGATTTACTCAATGCGGGTAGACTCAGTTCATTCAGAGGCATACAAGGTCTTGGGTGGAATTACTCGAGCTGGCCATGATGACAGTGGAGGTTAGATTGATATCTTACACACAATAAACTATCTTATCTCTACTACTTATTTATATTTGTCAGTGTAAACTTTCATTAGACAACATGTAGCTTTATCAATTTGTGGAGCTATTTATTCACTGATTTGGTTTAATCTGGTTTGCCAAACTAGTGTTGAGATTCATGAGGTTAACAGATGAATACTTTTCTTCTTGTTTGACTTCTACATGAGAATTTAAAACCTCTGAAGATTGATTAAAAAGGGGGACATTTGAGGGCTATTCAATGCATTGAATTTCTTCTTTAGCTAATTTCTCAAGTAGGTACTAAAGTAAAAAAAATTCTAATTTTTTTGGTGATAATTCTTCATGAACCTAGATAACGAGGATGCTGCTGGTACTGTAGAAAATGCAACTAACCAAAAGAAACAGACAGAGAAAAAGGTAGTTCTTACACAAAACCCAATTCTGGATGTAGTAGATGAGACTATTTACTGATGTGTTTCGAACTTGCAGATATCGCCTTTATCAACACTGGAACCTTCCTTTGATGCCCTTAACGTGAAGAAGTTTGATGGTATTTGCTTAACTTAACGTGACTCCCTTTGTTCGTTTGGTTCTGTACGACAATGATTTAACTTTTTTTCTTTCCAGTGGCATTTGCAGTGGATCCCCTTTATCATCAGACTTCCGCACAGTTTGATGAAGGTGGAGCAAAGGGCCTGCTACTAAACAATTTAGGAGTCTATGGAGGGTGTCAAGTTCTATTTGATTCACAAGAAATCCCTGGAAAGCTTGTTTCGTCTGCAAATAAGCATGACAAATCAGAAACAATTGATCTATCCTTTGCTAAAGGTCTGGCTTTACTGGCTGATATGCCTCGCTCTACCATTGTACATGTTTTATTGCATTATGCTTTCTCTGAATTTGTGGTTAAATTTGTAGAATGTGTGGAGCAAATGGTGCTAAACATGCGAAAGAAGGATGAGATTGTACCATCTCTTCGGGCTATAATCAATCAATTTGATGAAGAGAACCAAAGACCATCTGATACGTTTTCTTGTGGTCAGCAGACGACCGAGTCATTTGATATTTCACATGCTAATGATGCTAGCTATGCCGACGATGATGAAGGATATGAGAACTTTGGAACTTCTTTTGATTATGAGGGTCAATCTGGTGATGTTGATGAAAACTTTGGCCTCAATGATGCAGAACCAACATATTCAAATTTTCATGAGGTTATCACCATCACTCTTCTAATGGTCTTTTTTTCAATGAATTTTATTTGATACTGAAAACCTGATGTTTTCACTTTGCAGGAAGTTGAACCAGCCTCACTGCAAGACCTGGATTCAGAAGACAGACTTGAGAATGTTGATGACTATCTCTTTTTGTCGTTGGGAATTTCATCTAAGCAAAATTCTTGGGCAGGTCCTGATCACTGGAAGTATCGAAAAACAAAAGGTATGCGCTTATATCTCTAGTTTCAAGAAATAACGTAAGTCCTCTTAGTTATCTAGTTTCTCTGATGGTTTACATTCTCTGAACTCTTTTTGCAGGTCCAGATGTTCAATCTGCTTCAGAAAACAAATCTTCTCCACCAGCAAAGAAAACCAGGAAAAAGAAGCAAGCAGAGCCTGAACTAGATTTTACAAAAGCTTTAGAGGAAGAAATGCCTGATATTTTTGCCCCTCCAAAAAACCCAAAGTCTTTACTTCTCCCAGCAAGTAGAACCCCTTGTCAAACGAAGCTTCCAGAGGATTGCCATTATCAACCTGAGAATCTAATAAAGCTATTTCTGCTACCGAATGTGATGGTATGGCTTTTCCTTAACACAGACCCAGTCACTAATTTGCTATTGTTTTTCTGTGTTTTTTTTTTTTTTGTATTTTCTTTCTCCATTTTGTGTCATCTTTTCTGAAGTTATTCTTCTGAATGATAACAGTGCCTTGGGAGGAGGAGAAGAAAAAGCTCAGGTAACACTTCCAGTCATTAAGATAATCATCACTTGTGGTGTCCTTGGCGGTTTATGAGGCACATACCAGCTTTTTTGTTGTCTTTACCGATATTAAATTGCCTTTACAAAGAAAATGGTTTCAACAAGTTACCACTGAAATCTGTTATGGGCTTCTGAATAAAAATACTTATGTTACACTTGTTTTGGTATGTGCATATTCCAGGTGAAACTTCAAGACAGCAGCATGATGATTATGAACATGCAGAATCCTGGGGAAATGATAATGTGTATGATGATGATGGCACATTTGATAATGGAAATGATCAAAGTGATGCAGAGGATACCAACTCATTAATCTCTCAGCCACGCCAGGTATGAATAGATTGATCTGTATATATTTAAATAGCGTTACTAATCATATCAATAGGCTGTAGCTATCTCTGGTTAGCAATGAAACAGTGTTGTAATTGTCCTACACAACTAATGCTTTAGGTCAACAAAATTGAGGTCCAATATGATAAAGCTTCAAAACAAGTTGATGTGCAAGTGCTAAAGGAAACTCTTTGGGAGTGTCTTCAGGAATCTCATCAACCTCCAATTCAGGTTAACTATGTATATACTCATGCTTTCTGCTTCTTTTATCCTAAAACTACTCTGATAGTCTCTCTTATAATTTCCGTTACACATTTGTGTACTTCACATCAGCCAAGTTCTGTCAACATAAAACCTAGACTTCCACACACATACATACCTGTTTAGTGCAGTGCACCTTTTTCTTATGGTTACATGCCGAAACTAACCCAAGGATGGCATCTTCTTCCTTCTTTCTGCCCATTACTGTGATGATATTGACAGAATCTGATTGTGCAGGATGAGGAACATCAACAAGAACCACCTGAAAGTAGATCTTTCAAAGAGCTATTGGCTAGCTTCCCAGATGATTGCCAAGCAGCCGGGGCAACCCAAGACATCTCACCACATCTATGTTTTATCTGCTTGCTGCATTTGGCGAACGAGCACAATCTCAGCCTCGTTGGTTCTCAAAATTTGGATGATCTAACAATACACCTTGCCTGAAAGGAAAGTGAAGAGAGACCAAGAGGAGAAGCCAAGTGTTTCAAGAGTTCCTTTGAGCTCATCACTAAGCCTAATAAGTATGTTGTAGTTCAATGTAATGACTTGATTGTGTTGTAACTTTGTTCAAAATATATTAATCCTTTGTTGTTTTGGTACAATGTTTCCATTTCATCTGATTGATTCTCCATCAGAAAACTAAAATACAATAGTATGAATCAAATTCACAGTTACGCGTAACATGAAACTATCTTTCGTGTGATAAGAAAACAAAACCTTTGGTGTGTACTTAAGCAACTTGAGAGCTGCTTTTGGATTTAACAGTTGACTTGGTGGCTCCATCTCTGTATCCTTTCTGACGAGCTCTCTGTTCCCACATAGAAGTCAGCTTCTTCTGCTCTACAAGTGCTTTTTCTGCCTTCTCTCTTGCTTCTTCACAAGTCTCCATACCTGAGTTACACTTATCTGCCTCCTTTTGGTATGATGATGTTATCTTCTTAGCCTCTAGCAAACCTGTGTCTACTCGTTTGTGTTTCTCCATTGATGCTGCTTCACGCTGCTTCAGTTCCTCTGTTAAAAGTTCGGCGTAGTTCTTCTCTGTGTCTTCGTTCACCTCTGGATCATGCTTTGCACAATCTGCGCATCAAAAGACAAGATGTTCTTACTAGACACTTTTACTAAAAA